ATGAATAGAAAGACTTGTCCTAATAGTGTTTGTAAACAGGCTATCGTGTCTGCATCTTGTAAAATGAATAACCACTAAGACAACAATATGCAATGTATTAATTATTGTCCTACTAATCAGATTTGAAATGTGTCATTGCTATTTGTTTCTTAATAAAATAACTGAAAAAAAAGACACACCAACAGAAAGAAGCTTTCATTATGTTAACAGAAAATATTTCCTTTAATGTGTTTGCCTTTCTCACTATTTCTACAGTCTTCCCCCAAAAACAAAAATGTATACATACTTTAAGTTTTCTTTTCTGGGGGATGTACACATTTTTTTGGGTGGACTCTGTATAGATAAAACTTTACTTCTCTAACATACTATTTTTTGTCTTTAAATGAGCATCAAACTAAGGGCCCCACAATACTAAACCTGCACTCTACCACTGAGTTACACCCTCAGCCCTTCTAAGATTACTCAGAACATGTCTTCCTGCCGTGTTCCTACCTCACTAATGCCCCCCCCTTTTCTTGAGACTATGTAATTAGGCTGGCCTCGAACACACAGTGATCCTCCGGACTTAGCCTCCTGAGTGTAGATTATAGGTGTGCCTCCAGCCCCTACTGTATCTTTAAACCATTAAGTCCATACTTCCTATGCACCCAATTCCACTGCTCTGTAATCACATTCTTACATTTTTATGTCTTTCCACATAGATATATATATATATCTATGTATTTTTTTTTTCTTTTGGGGCAATGATACTGCCTTATGGGTGAACTTGCATCTCTGGGATAAAGCCTATTTGGTTATGATGCATGATCTTTTAGATGATCTGTTGCATTGTCTGCTAGTATCTTTTTGAGGAGTTTGCATCTATATTCATTAAACAGATATGGCCTATCATTCTCGTTTTGGGTTGGCTCCTTCTCTTTTATTTCCCCCCTTGTCTGTTTTTGCAAACAGGGTAATGTTAGCTTCCAGGAATGAGTTTGGGAGTACCCTTTCCCTTTCAATTTCATTAAATAACTTGAGGAGTTTTGGCATTAGAAGTTCTTGTAGAGAGGCTGGGGAGATGGCTCAGTGGATTAAGTGCTTCCCTGGCAAGCGCAAGGGCCTGAGTTCAATCCCTGGTTCTGCCAAAAAAGAAAGAAAGAAAGAAAGAAAGAAAGAAAGAAAGAAAGAAAGAAAGAAGTTCTTGTAGAAATCTGCAGTGGGGCCGGCCAGATAGCTCAGTGGATTAAAGCACCTGCTTAGGCAGACACAGGGACCAGGGATTCAATTCATGGCCTGCTGTGCCAGGTAGGCCATTGAGATGAGCACTGAGACTGGGTGTGCTGGTGCACACCTGTAACCCTAGTGCATGGGAGGCTGAAAACAGGAGGATCATTACTATGTCGTGAGACTGTAGACCCTATACTAACATACAAAAAAAAAAAAAAAATCTGCAGTGAATTCATTCAGACCTGAGCTTTTCTTAGTTTTTAACTACTACTACTAGTACTACTACTACTGCTGCTACTACTACTACTACTACTACTACTGCTGCTGCTACTACTACTACTACTGCTACTACTACTACTACTGCTACTACTACTACTACTGCTACTACTACTGCTACTACTACTACTACTACTACTGCTACTATCACCACCACCACCACCACCACCACTACATCAGGGCCAGGCATAGCACCTGCCTGGCAAGCATGAGTTTGATTCCTGGTACAGAAAAAAATTACTCTTTATTACTATTGCTTCAATTTCATTGCCTGTTATTGGATTATTCAGTGTCGTCATGTCTTTTTCATACTAGGTAGTTTATATGTGTCTGGGAATCTTGTCCATTTCATCAAGATTCTCCAATTTTTTGGAGTACAAACTTTCATAGTAGTTAGTAGTGATCTTGATTTTGGCAGTGTCTATTGTGATTTTGCCTTTTTCATTTTTTTTTCCATAATTTTATTGAGAAACAAATAGCAATGAGACAGTTTCAAACCAAACTGGTAGGACAGTTTCAATAATTAACACATTGCATACATTCCTCCCAGTGGTTAATTGCTGTACAAGATGTGGACATGATATCCTATTTACAAACACTATTAGAACAAATCCCTCTATT